GGGAGGCTTCAGGGTAAACATGGGTGGTGAATCGAAAGGTAGACTTACTACGGTAGCCGAGTTCTTTGTACGCAGCTGGAATCCTCACCGAATTTAAGTCCTATGCCTGGAAATCAGAACGAACACGAATGGCACACGGTCAGCGGGTGATTCCTGGTCCAGGCACGATAGTTCCATACCCGTAACTACGCAGGCGTTCTGCATAGAACGCACGTTGCTTTACATAATAAGATGATTCATTTATGTGGTCGTCGGCCCGCTCGAGAGACAATTTCTAAGAGCTGGTTAATAATTCTATCTGACTAAGATATCGAGATTGCATAAACTAGTTGTGAGGGTACTCACGGTTCTAAGGTTCAGAAGATGTTCCCCCGATTACGTGCGCTTTAGCGCGATTAGGCCTAGCACGCTTCGGCATCTTGTATATAGACCGCGCGATCGCCGACTTTGCCTATCACTCAGTATTGTTACATTCCCAGCCCTGGAGGCAAATTTCAAAACATCAACTCCAGCAACTGCATTCTGCGTACGATGGGCACTACAATGGATGATGAAGCTGGGGAATTTCTGGCTAATGTGGAAGGCGGAATCGTGCCAGTGACATGTCACGATGATGTCTTGCGGATCGCATACATTTATATCGATGAGGGGCTGTGGGACGGCCAGGGCGTATTCGATGTTGTGGAGAAGCTGCACGCGCATGGCTGGTCTTTTGGTGAGGGCGAGCTCCGCTTCAATCGGTAAGCTACATCCTCATATGAGAATCCCTAATACCGACGTACCTAGCACTGCATGTGTGTGACTAAAATAAAACAGTACCTTGGATATATTTTATCTCGCCCAGATCGCAGCAGCCTACTACCGCTGGACCTCCCAACTAAATGGGAACGACCCCCTCACCTTCTCAGACTTCGACGCCTTCTACACTGCGCACCATGCCCTCCTGCACCCTACAGCCTGGCGCACCTATTACTCCACCACATTCCTTACTCAACCCACCACAGCACGCTTCTACCGCATGCCCGACCTCCAGGACCTCCCGGACTCGTCCTCCCCGCTGTGCCTGCCGCGCGATAATCCGGTATCCGAACACGTCCTAAAGCTCCCCCGCTGGGCTTATACTGTTGGGCGGACCCGCTACAGGCAACCGCTCCTTCCATTTGACACGATTACTAAAATAGCCCTCCGCACGCTTGACGCAGTCTTGACACGCCTACACGCGGCCTACCCTAGCACACCACCCTTTTCGGAATCACATGCGCGCTTCTGGCTAGACGAGTATTACGAACCTCCCATCGCAGAATCGAAACAAGAAGCATTGCCTACGAACACCAACACCCAGCTTGAGGGAGAGGAGAAGAAGATCCCTTCATCTCCAAGCCCTACATCTGACCTATCACCTCGCAAGGACAACCGCGAAGCATGGGGGCCCCATCACTTTGGGCTCAATGTCGCGTCAGGATTGTATGACATACACAGTTTGGAAGCACAGTACCTCGTACAGGTTTCTTCGGGTAAGGTTGTCGAACCAGAACCTAGCAAGCCGGTGTTTTTCTGGTGTGGGATACCGGATGGAGGGACTGCATTTCAAGCGTTGCAGAGGGGGTGGCAGGAAGAGATTGGGAGTGAGGAGGAGGTCGAGTTCCTAACCGCTGTTGCGATGGAGGAGACAGCTGGACTAGGAGCTGGAGCAATCAAGATGGATGAGTTGGACTGTTCAATCCGGTCACATATCCTACTAGCGGTCATGCAGGCTGCGTTGGTAAAGAACATGCAAGAGAGGGAGCATTTCTTGGGGGAGCTGGAGAGGCGGATGGTGCAAAAGGGGAGGATTGGCGAGGAAAGAGCAGGGAGGTGGGTTAGGGAGGCCTTGGAAATTATGGTGCCTTATGTACGCGTGTGGCAGGGCGAATGGCCTGATACAGAGGAGAGGGGGGAAATGCTGCGCCGGATCTTGGTGGAGAATCCGCTGCTCTTTGCACGCTGGAAGTTGTCGCCTGTTTTGAGGCAGTTCGCTTTTGACGACGCAAAAGTTGACTGTCTCGGCTGCCACACGGCGTACTGTTAACTACTGCCAAGATCCCTTCACCCGGGTAGTAACTAACTGCTGGCATACCCTACTGGTAGATATAGTTGACCATAGTGTGGCACCTACTGTTAGCAGCGCTGCCTTTAAGCTGGGTCCTAGGGGAGAGTACGGGATTCAAGCGGTTTATCTCAAGCAAAGTTAATTCCAGTCCCTCCAAGTATTTTTTCCGTCGCATGTTTTGCATCACTCGTCTTCCTTTCCCCAATCGTTCAAATTGAGCATCAACCCAGTCAGTATACAGATCCCCACTGTAGTTTACAACGCATTGTCAGTTATAGCAGCATCTGACCACAACTCACCTCGCAAGTCAGGCTCGATTACAGTAAACACCCATACTGCTATAATGCTTCCCCGCTTCCTCAAACGGGTGATCATCGAAGGTTTCGCTAAAAAGTCTCGTCGAGGAAGGCAACAACAGCACCTGTTGAATTCTTTCTCACTTCTCCTAGGAAGACTCAGTTTTCAGCACGGTTCCAACGAGGTCATATTCGATATTCTCCTAGATCGTCGTATCAAACAAGAAGTTTTTTCTAGTTAACCATCGAATTTGCCGACGTAGCCATTTCAAGTTGAGCTTTTCAATTTCAGCGCGTCAAGGAGATTCTGGCTCTGACCTAGCCAGGCTTGCTAATCAATTAATCTCTTGGCAACATTGTTTCAACATGTTGTTTTAATGTTAATTTAACTGGCCTACTACTGCTAACATAAGCAATCACAATTTAACTTAACTTTACCCCTAGTTAATTAATAATAAGTTAAGATAACTAGTGCGCTGCATGCTATTAGCTGCGTCGCTAACTAAGGACGTCTTAGCTTTCGTTTAGACGCGACACAACGCGACGTGTTAACTAGCGCATCTGCTAGCACATCTATCAAGCATCTCATACATTGTTATAGATTTAGATATCGTCGACGCCTCCTCTATCGACACCCACTTCCGTACCGTGCAGTCTAAGCTACCTACCTCTACAGAAGCCCAGTTCAAGCCGTCTAAGTCTACCAATTCTCTTGCAGATAATAACTACTACTAAGATATCGTCTAGGCGCGACTACCAGGCTATATACGTCCACCAACTAGCGACAAGTTGCGCGCTTAGTTTTTGTAAGGACATAGCCTCTCCTTAGCTACTACTTACTACGAGGTTTAGAGCTAAGGAGTAAAAGGCTACGTCTTACTACGAAGGCGCAAACTACTAGACCTTCGAAGGCGCAAACTACTAGACCTTCGAAGGCCTAAACTACTACACCTTCTACGGTCTAGTACGCCTTCGCTTCGCTTCTCTCTCTAGGCTATATAAGTACGCGTACGCTCTGCCTCTTCTAGGCTCTGCGTCTGCTATTTTCTCTACTCTGAATACAAGCTTCTACTTAACTAGTTCGCTCTTCTGCGCGTAAAGTCTGCCTTACAGAATTAGAGTTAGAATTATTACTAGCACTAGCACTAGCGCCCTAAAAGAAAAAGTTAGTTAAGAAAACAAGCTAGGAAAATAAGCATAAGCGCATACTATCCTAGCAGCATAACTAACAAGCTGCTCTAGCGTGTAAGGGGCTACGCTTAGGGAGCTATCGCACAGGTATACTAGAGTTGTATTCAATAGAGAAGAGAACTACAGATAGCTAGGGTTCTAAAGGTCGTTCAGGGGGCGGCGGCTCGGGATAACCTTCCACCGGGCTCGCTTGCACAGAATCCAGGTGCTTAGGGGGGCACCCGGAATCTGTGGACAGTGCGCCTCGCGCACGTGACCGAGATATTATCGAGGATTCACTAACTAGGCTCCAGCCTATCACATGCATAGCATTAAAGTCTACGATAATAGTAGTGTTGGTGGCCCGAGCGCATAGCGCGAACAGACTTCTGGCACCCGATTGTAGCTATTACTTTGTGTAGCTATATACTATATCCACATAGAACCTCTAACCTAACCCTAACCCAACGCTTTGACTACTATAACCTAACCTTAACCTACGCTAGGGTTAACCCTAACCCAACCTATATCTAAGGTCCGTGCGACCCCAACCCAACCTATACCCATGCTTGGGTATACCTAACCCATTTGCCAGCCTATCTAGATGCCTGTGCAGTGCTCTTTGCATACAAGCAGGTGATGCTGCTCTAGAAAAAGAAGCTGGTCTTGCACTTTGTTAAGTGTTACTGCAGTTGAAGAACGTAGTGGAGCACGTTGCTGCTGCGTTGCGTTTGATGTTGGCGTTGTTGGCGTTGAGCTTAGCGGTTCTACGGAGGTGCCTTTCAAAAGTTTTGTCTGCCAAGAATAATTTAGCCGACGTACGGCCGCCTTAGTTAAGGCTTGTCTCTTCCCTCTGTGTACTCATTACCGCCTTGTAGCTCAATTATCTTTTAGATATAAACAAGAATTCGCTCAATCTAAGCTTAGATCTTAAGTTACGAGAGATCTCTCCAGCAATTCTGCGAGATTCTAACTGCCTCAGCCCTTGACTGCGGAGCTCCTTTCTTCGTAGTCTCTCTCTTCATGTAAAACCAACACGGCTCAATAAAGTTACAGTCTGGCGAGTTGCTACACCAGAGTAGCCTCTTAACGTCGTACTAGCTATAGATCGTACTCTGATAGTAAAGGGCGTGGGCAGGTGCCTTATCCTCCATCACGACAGTCTAAGGTCTATCTTAGAGGCACTCTTTGGCGAAAGGAATCAGCTTTAGGATCAGAACGCAGGTCTGATATCTCCACCAGTCTACGCCACTTCCAGATGCATGCACTAGCTTGCCTGTCTTCTCTGTCCATCTCCATTGAGGCTTCCTGCCAGGCTTATTACGCAGCCCTGTCCTTCTTATAGACTCTGACAGCTCCCATTCCTCTCGCTGTAGAGGCTCAAGCTCAGCGTTTAGCTGCTCAATCTTCCGAGCAGCATCCTCTCTCTCTGCCTTCGTCTCTAGCTAGTAGACATAGCATGGACCTTTCTTATCGTACGAGAAGCAGCCCCAGAACATAAACTCAGAGTATCCCTTCCACCTCTCACGGATACAGCTCTTAACTACTCTCTCGTCTGCCCTCCTCCAGACCCTATAGCCTCCACGTCGGTAGTTAATCACCACAGACGTCTCGTCTGTCCAGATAACATTCTTCCAGTCCTCCAACGTCCAGTCTCTATAGTCGATCGCCCACTTAAGACGAGCACTCCTCATCTCCTGTGTCAACCCAGGCTTCCTCGTTAGCTTGGTCTTCTTGTATCCTGCTTCTCTCAATACCCTCCAGACGGTAGAGGTAGAGATTTCGACTCCTTTGAGACTGAGCCCACCAGCAACGTCAGCGCAGGTCTTCTCTCGTCCATGTCTATCGCGTCGTACTTGTTAGAATATCTGCTCCTTTACCTCTTCTGTCTGCTTAGCGGGTCTACCAGAGCGAGGAGCATCCTGAACGTGGTGTAGGAGGATCTTAAGAGGGAGGACGTTTGGCTCGAAGCCAGCAGCGATAGCTCTACTATAGATACAATCGACTGTACGTAGATTAACACCAGTCAGCTCTGAGATCTGTGACGTTGACTTGCGAACATGAGGTAACTTTAATGTTACAATTAAGGTGCGGGTATAAGAATCGGTGTTAGGAGCCATAGTAGATAGATAACTACGACTGATTAACAGCTCAGCTCAAAGGTGGGGAGTTACGCCAAGAAGAGTTGCGCCGAAGCGCCGAGATTAGCGTCAGACAAAACTTTTGAAAGGCACCTCCGTAGCTCTATACCGTTTCGAGCGGGCCTTGACACCGATCGGGCCCCCTCGGTGGCATCCTATAGGTTAGGTTGCAACCACTTCGGCAGTAGTTTCCGACGGATTCCAACACAGGTTTCAGGCATCCTCCGAGCGTTCGGCACGCAGCTTACGCTTAGGTGAGATTTCGCAATTGAGCCCCGCTTCAAGCTTCTTTCCAACAAAGTGGCACGCAGGACAGCTCCGTGTACTCAAATGCACTCGCTCAATAATCTCTCTACTCGCAACCTTCGACCAATATGCCCTCTAAGAATACTTACCCTGGCTCTGCCGATTTCAAACAGGAGAGCTCAATTGCCCGCTCAGACCTGCGCGATAACGTAAACCTTGCAACCCCGAAGAATCCAACAGCACCCCAAGAACCACAAACAACTGAGGAATCACAAGCGGCTAAAGAATCTTATGACGACTACATCAAGAATCTGCCACCGCCATTCTGGGAGACCAAGACACCACAAACGAAAGCAGCGAACGACGAGGTGATCGCGGCTAGAATCAACGCTGTATGCGCGCCAGTCACAGCCGAGCAGCGTGAACAAGATGAGCGTTTGAAGACCATGTCCTGGCGCGAGCGGTGGCGTGATCGCAAGGCGAGACGAGAGGCTAAAGAGAAGAATAAAGATCCCGATTCAAGGCCTGTAGAAAGGGGGAGCCGAGCACAGCTAAACGTCTTTGGTGTTAATATTCAGGAGAAGAAAGGGAAGCGGTGACGTATATACACAGCAAATGTACTGTAAATTGTACAGGATATTACATAACTACAAAAGATCATAACAGATATAGTATGTTCGTAACGCAAGCGGAAAGCCGGGAAGCCATGGTGTCGAGGCCGAGGTTCTGCACGCTTGCGGCACAGCAGATTCGAGAACATCGAGAACGGCCCTCGTGATTCCTTTGCGCATACTGCGCTTGAACTAACAATCGTCGCCTATTTTAATTGGGAGAGAGGTCTTGAGATAGTCGCACAATGGTTTGTCAGAAATGTAGCACAGATGTGATGCGTATGTTGACAGTGGATTTTCTCAGGTAACTGGACACAGGCACATGCTAGAATGGAGCTTCGACATATATTAGAATGTGAGAAGAAAAATGTATATCCATCGATGCTCTATCATGATTGAGTTATGTAGATTTTACAGGTATCTCTACCTATAGAATCCATTCGTAGAGTAGTGTGCGCAGTTGCAAGGTGAATACATAGCGGCCTTACAGATACAATGGGTGAATTGAAGCCAGCTAAGAGATACGGTTCTAGCAATAATGCTGACACATTAGAGAACTTCGATTAATATGCTAACGTGTTTTATAAGCGAGTCGTCCTTACAAGCGAGTCGTCTACCCTACTAACTTTAATTACCTTTAAAAATTAAATTAGTTAACGTACCTCACGGGCGAGTCGGACACACGGGCGAGTCGGACACTCTGCCAAGACCAGATCAAAATATAAACACACCCACATTCTACATACGATGAGCCAACAACACAGCAATTTACCTGCTTAAAAGAGGCTCGATTACAGCTTGCACTTCAGGCTATCAAACGTGACGCGACACTTACCCAGCGACGCGCTGCAGCCATCTACAACGTCTCGCGATCAACACTAAGTGATAGACTCTCTGGAAAGCCGTTTCGACGCGACTGCGTACCCAGCTCAATGAAACTGTTCAAGACAGAGGAGGACGTGATTGTCGCACATATCCTTAACCTAGATGAGAGAGGATAGGCGCCCCGGCTTGCTGCTGTTAAAGATATAGCTGATTGTCTGCTAGCTGAGCGCTACCGCGACCCGGTCGGTCAGAACTAGGCTGCATCCTTCGTTAAGCGTCGCCCTGAGGTCAAAGTTAAATTTAATCGAAAGTACGACTACAGGAGAGCCCTGTGTAAAGATCCTGAGGTGATACAAGGCTAGTTCCGCCTTGTACAGAACATGAAAGCCAAGTATGGTACCCTAGACGACGACATGTACGATTTTGACGAAGCTGGCTTCATGATGGGCGTAATATCGACTAGGGCAGTAGTAACAGGAGCTGATCGTCGAGGACGACCAAAGATGATCCAGCAGGGCAATCGAGAGTGGACTACGACTATCCAGGGCGTCAACGCGATGGGCTAGGCGATCCCACCCTTCATCATCTTCCAGGGCAAGCATCACCTCTCTGCCTAGTACGAGGAGGGCGACCTACCTCACGACTGGGTAGTTAGAGTCTCTAAGAACGGCTGGACAACAAATGAGCTTGGTCTAGCGTGGTTAAAGCACTTTAACACGCATACAAAGACGAGGGTTGTTAGCAGCCACCGCCTGCTTATTATTGACGGTCATAAGAGCCACGACTCGCTTAAATTCCAGCAATACTGCAAGGATAACAAGATTATTACCCTCTGCATGCCTCCTCACTCATCCCACCTCCTGCAGCCTCTTAATGTTAGTTGTTTTGCGCCTTTAAAGAAAGCCTATAGACGCCAAGCCGAGAATCTAATGCGCAACAAGATCACCCACATCACTCAAACAGAGTTCTTGCCGTGCTATATTGCCGCTTATAAGGCCTCAATTACTAAGAGCAATATGCAAGGAGGATTTCAAGGCGCTAGCTTAGTTCCACACGACCCAGAGGCGGTGCTATCAAAGATCGATGTTAAGTTGCGCACGCCTTCACCCCTCCCTGTCGAAGACCTCCCCTAGCTCTCCCAGACACCAAAAAATACCCTAGAATTCAGGTCGCAATCGACGCTCCTAAAGGATAAGCTTCAAAGGCATGTAGATAGCTCGCCAACATCAATCGTTGATGCGATAGAAAAGTTTAGCAAAGGCGCGGTAATAATAGCGCATTCAATAGTGTTGCTCACAAAGCGCAACGCTGAGCTTAAAGCAGCTAACGAGGCCGCCACGCAACGTAAATTACACAAAAGAAAGCGGATACAGCGAGAGGGTACCCTTATAGCTGGAGAGGGCCTGCGGCTAACTACTCTTAAGGAGTTTGCGGCGCGTAGTAATAGGAAGAAGGCGAAGAAGAGAGCGCGCGTTGAGGCAGGCAAACCGTCGCAAAGACGCTGTGGACGCTGCGGTGAGACAGGACACAACTCGCGCACATGTAAGCAAGAAGCAGCAGTTGATTCTGAGTAGAATAGCCTATTACGATTTTCTATAACTGTCCTTGATAGTGCTGCACTGTCGTGAATACTCGTGCTCTTTGGTGTGGTCTTGGCAGAGTGTCCGACTCGCCCGTGAGGTACGTTATACCTTAACGCTAATAAGCTCTATTGCGCTTATTTAAAGCTGTTATACAGCTTACTATATTTGTTATAGGCGGAAAGAGGCCTGCTAACGAGTATGCATTTGCTCCTATGTACAGAAGAAGAAGGATAAGGAAAAGAAGAGTAGCGTCCTCTTCGTACGGTATTTATCCTCCGTACGCTAATACAAAGATAGATAAGCGGGAAGTTCTTCGGCGTAGCCTCTTGTGGCACTTAGGCGTAGCCCCTTACACTCTTTTGTTTATCTAAAATATATACAATCTGCTCTAATAATTCTACAAACAAGATATTTCTAGCGCTATTGTATTTGTATAACTTAAAGTATCTTTACAAGGCGTTATCGTCTCTAGGATAAAAAACGTTAGTAGTAACCTGTTTCACCAGCGAGCGGCCCACCCTACCGAGCGGCCTAGTTCCCCTACTAACACGCGTACCTAGCAACAACACGTAATGTCTTAACAACTACAACCTCTTAAGGCTTATACTAAAGCTAATGTGCAGCTTGCCCTCTTAGACGTTAAACGTAACTAAATTCTAAGCCTGCGGCGTGCGGAGGCAGTCTACAAAGTCCTAAAGACGACGATACGACGGCGACGCGACGGGAAGCCCTCTAGACGCGACTGCGAGCTAAACTTAAAGAGCCTAACAAAGCTAGAAGAGGAGGTAATTGTACAACGTATACTTAATGAGAATCTGCGTGGAGTACCGCCCTTAAAGCTACACGTACGAGATATAGCTAATAGATTGCTGCGCGATCGCGGCGTTAAGTCTGTTGGCAAGAACTGGGTTGACAGGTTTATCCAGCGTACACCTGAGCTGCGCACGCGCTAGAGCCGTCTATACGATCGCCAGCGAGCTCTCTGCGAGGACCTAGCAATTATTAAGCCCTAGTTCATGCTAGTTTAGAACATAAAGGCGAAGTACGGCATTATAGACGACGACATGTACAACTTTGACGAGTCTGGCTTCCTGATAGGCAAGATATCGTCGCAACTTGTAGTGACAGGCATAGACAAGCCTAGGAAAGCAAAGAAGCTTCAGCCTAGTAATCGCGAGTAGACTACGTTAATACAGGGCGTTAGCGCAATAGGGCGCGTTATCCTACCCTTCCTTATCTTTGCTAGCAAGGTTCTTATCTCTAACTAGTTTACTAAGGACCTCCTACGCAACTAGGTTATTTAAGTAAGCCTAACAGGCTAGACAAACAACGATCTAGCGCTTGCTTAGCTTGAACACTTTAATACGCATGCGAGGCCTATAGGCAGACATAGGCATATCGATATCGATATAAAATAGCAGATTTCATATCGATATCAATTCGAAGTTTTTTATATCGATATCAACGTCGATATCGATTGTTATCGATAACATAAGCTATAAAAAATCAATTAGCTAGCTAAGTGTCCTTAAACTACGTTATCTTATTAATCACTTCATCTATCCAGCCCTAGATAGCCTTATTTTCGCCTAGTTTAAGTTAAAATCCCCTTCTAGACCTAGATAAAGGCGTAATTAATCCCTGATGAAGCCAACTACTAATACACTCGATTTTCTTGATATTAGCACACGATAGCCTAAGTCGATTGTATCTACAAGTCCTTCTTGCACCTAAAAACACCCTTTCTGCCTCTGCAGATTTAGCAGGGATTAAGAGTATATTAATAGCTATCTAGCTAAGCTTTAGATATTAGCGTCTCTAATCCTTGTAGCACTACTATTCTAAAGCTGTACAGCTAATCGCAATGGGTGTAGCCTTAATAAACACGCTAAAGTTATCCTTATCCTTATTAGCTGTCGTTACAGCTAAGTTGCGGCGTAAACGATTAAACCTAGAGAGATCTTAATGTTAGGGCTGTTAAACAGGTTCAGAACTAGGGATTAAAGCCGTTTTATAATCCTCTACCTAAAGTGTATAAGCTTTATTAATTGCTAGCGCTATCTAGCTTTAGGTCTAGTTCTTTTTAATATAGGCTAACTACTTTAAAGGATTAAGAAGAAGGGCTGCGGCGTATACAGGTGCTTCGTCTGTAAGGCCGTAGTACTTACTAAGGACATACTATCCTATGTTAATAGCGTAGAGCATCTAAGGATCTTCTTAACTAGGCGTAGAGTATCTTTCCTAATAACTTATTAGTAAAGATACCTAATAAGACGTCTACTTTACCTTCTCTTGTTTATAGTAGTAGAGGAGAACATCTATAATCTTAAGGCTCTGTCTAATTAATGACTTATCCCCTTCTGCGTATAGAGTTGCACCTGTAAACAGTTGCAAGAATAAGTAAGCTTTGCTAAGGATATCCTAATCCTTAGCAGTAAGCTTAATACTATTTAGGTCGTCTTTGTAATTAACGAGAAAGACCTTAATCTTACTCTATTTCCGCAGTGTTTTATTAATAAATAGATACTACGATAACTACCGCGTTATATTATCAATCCCTATCTATATCCTAATAGCCTTAAGCTAGTCCTTATCGCGTTGTAGTAAGCGATAGATCTAGATACCTAGGTCGTAAAGCTTTTCGAGTGCAGGTAATCGGCCTATCCTATCGAAATCCTAGTGTTAAGGATTCTCGCTCGCCTGTCGCGATCTACGGCTTTTCGCGGTTGCTTGCTAAGTTTTACAGCCGCGAGCGTCGTCTTTTAAGTTATTAGAACTTTAGATAAGGGAAAACCTATTAAAAAGTTCCTCTCTATTAACCTTAGCTGCTGCAGACAACGCGGCAATAAGAGCTTCTTTAGAAGACGCGAGGAGGAAGGCTTAAAGGGATAGGTTAATGATATAGGCTATACAGCGTATACAGCGCCTTTTAGGGTCGTACTTAACCTATATAGTGTTAGCAAGGTACCTAGAAAACGTAGAAAACAAACCTAATGCTCTTTAAGTAATCGAGATGCTAGAGATTCTAGACAAGTGTCGTTTAACGTCGCGTTGTCGCCTGTATACCACCTAAGGTTTAACGTGATCTCGTATTGTTTAAGAACCTAATAGATTAAGGATGCTTAAGATAATCCTAAGTAGTCTCCTAGTAACTTAACTAGGCCTAACAAGGCTTTTTAAAGCTTATATTCGTGATTAATCTATTGCCCGCAGATAGCAAGCATGCCCTTTCGATAGGGCGACGTCTAGATATCTGTTTGTAAGTAAATCAGGCTGCGAGCTATAGTAAGAGTATCTTAAAGCTAATCTTGGTATATAACGTAATTAGCAGCTATAAGACGTATAATAGTGCGTCAAGACTAAATAAGAAAATAGCCACTTTTAGGATTAGCGGCTAGAAGTAGAGCTTACATCTCTAGCCACTTAACACTGCTAAATAGTAGGCGCTGTTAGGTAAGTAATCTAACTACTGCTTCTTTGTAGGCTTCCCTATTAAACGTACGATGTAGGGCCGCAGTTGAAGGTAAAAGGCCTTAAGATAATAACGTATCTGCGTCGTTTAAACGCTGCTAACGTAGCTGTTACTAAGATAATAGGTGCTAGGTGCGACAATAATATAAAGTATTAGATTTTGATGTTTGAGGGCCCTATTAAGGATGCATCATGCATATAAACTCTTAAGTGCCTTAAGATCCACGTTTCTAGCTTGGTACGGTACGTCGTTCTATAACATCTTAGAAGTTACTAGGTAACTTAATTAGGTTGCTAGCAGAGCTAGATAGTACGACATCTGATAATAAAAAGGACTCTATAGTGTAATAGACAAGTAGTACTAATTAGGTTAAAAAACGGCTTGTTAATAGATATTAAGAGATAAAAGTACGTATCTGCAGAGATTTTTAGGTTGTAAGTGTGAGGGGTAGTTATAGGCAATAGTATTTGCTTCACACTACAAGAGAATAGTAGGGGAAAGCTCTTATATTACTACACTAGGTAGGGAGGTCGTGAGAATAATTCTTGTCCATCTCCTAACGCGCGGAGCGCAGGTTATGAGCAGGTTCAGAGGCTAAGGCGCGAGCGAGAGAAGCAAACATGTTGGGACCATAATCGTCCTCCTCGCTCAGCCTCTGCCGTCCCGTGTTACAGTAAGGGCTGCTAAGCTTTTTTATCGATATATCGATATATCGAAAACGGGTGAGTTTCGATATCGATATCGAAATCAGCCTTAAAATCTATATCGATATCGATATATCGATATATCAACGCTAAAGCATATCGATTTGCCTATGTATGCCTGTAGGAGCGTACAGGCTGCTTATTATTGACGGCCACGAGAGCCATTGCTTAATAGATTTTCAGGATCGCTGCAAGGAGAAGAAGATTATCGCCCTCTGTATGCCTCCACATTCGTCGCACCTCCTGCAGCCGCTTAACGTTACCTGCTTCTCGCCGTTAAAGCGCGCGTACGGCGATAAGATCTCAGCCTTAGCACGCGATCGCATCTACTACATTAACAAACAGACCTTCTTACTAGCCTTTAAAGTAGCTTTTAAGAAGGCATTTACAAGAGAGAATGCTTGCGCAGGGTTTTAAGGCGCTAGATTGTGTCTACATAATCTACAAGCCGTGTTATTAAAGCTGGATGTGCAGCTGCGTACGCAAACTCTACCACAGCAAGATGACGCCGCTTAGGAGGCGCAAACACCGCGCAACGCTAAAGAAATAGAGGCGCAATTAACGCTGATTTGAAACAAAATGCAAATCTATCGAGGGTCTCCAGCAAGTTTACTTGACGAGCAGGTGCAACAGCTAACAAAAGGCGCGCAGCAGATAGCTTATAAGATGGTGTTAATGCGCGCAGAGATAGGGCGCCTTTAAGACGCAACAGAGACGCTTACTAAGCGTAAGAGTCGCAAGAGACGCTACGTACGGGCAGAGGAGACACTAACAGTTGGCGAGGTATTAGACTTAATTGCTAAAAAGGAGGGTAGCAGTCGTAAGGAGGGTAAGGAGCCGGCGAAGAGGGTGCGCGCAGGGCGACGCTGCAGCCGTTGTGGCAAGATTGGGTATAACTCTCGTACGTGCAAGGTAGAAATTGAGGATGCGAATAATAGCGACGCTTCTGAATAATATTATACTGTTGCAAGAGTATAAAAATTGTGTTGTGGTGCTAAGCTACGTCGCTGCGCGTACGCTTCGCTAGTGTTCATAGGCCGCTCGGTGGGGTAGGCCGCTCGCTGGTGAAACAGGTTAAGCTTATTATTTAGAGTAAAGGGCTTTGCTCTTAAATATTATCCTGTGTACTTACGTCCGCTACTCTTAATAAGGCGATAAATAGTATCTAAGACGTAGTCACAATCTACTACAACTCTCTTTTTACAGAGGGATATTGCTTGTTAGGAGTTGTCTTAAAAGTGTGTATAGTTTCCTATTAGGTTATTACGCCTTATTAGTTAACACTCGTGCTTAGTCGTATAGATTTACTAGTAAGTTTATCTTTCTTGCTCTAAGAGTAACTCTAACTTTACCTTATTATACCTAGAGCCTAACTCTTTGTCTTGCGAAATTCTTAGGCCTCTCTATAATAACAACAACTATTTAGTGAACGTGAGTGTCGTCTAGCGCTTCTGTCGCCTCTCGCACGGCATCTTCGTCCTCTTCATCGCTATACACACCAAGAGCCGCTCGAAATGCCTCTCGGTCCCAGTCCCGTCCTTCCCCATCTCCCGGCCACCCAGCTCTTCTCATCTTGCGCACAAGCCCCTTGAACTCGTCGTCCGCGTCATCAAAGTCACAGTCCATTGGTACCGCCTCAACGACATCTGTCTGGAGGCCGATCCAGCGAAGCTCGTGGAACCGCTGTTTGCAGAGCGCAAAGAATTCGCCTGGGTGATAGACATTGAACCCCTCCCGCCAATGCTCGGTTTCGTTGCCAGCGTAGTGCTCTTGCACCACGGCGTTGAGCTCTGGTGCTGGCTCGTCGTGCTGACCGTTAGGATCCCCCCAGTAGATGTAGCCATCGGCCGTGTTGATCACGAGATTGTAGCCGTTACGCCCGTTGCTGTTACCGAAGGAGATGCATGACGACGGTAAGGGATCGCATATGGGCTCCACGTAGTATTCGAGATCCCCGTCGCGGATCCGCTTCTGCATCTCTTCGCTGCGGTAATCCTGGATCCGTGTGTTCACCATGACGACGTGCTTGCCATAGGCTTTGTCTGGCTCAACAAAGTCTACAAAAGGCATGTAGCGAAGCAAGTCGATGACTGCATCAGTCTTGTGCAGGTTGGCCATGGTGGATTGTGTGATCGATGGCCAGCCATTGCTGGGCGCTTCCGCGACGACCGAGTTATCCCAGAACACTCGATTGCAAAACTCGTAGTAGTTCGTCAACAGTGTGATAAACTCGGCTTGATCAAAGGCCATGGTAGGGGAAAGTGGAGAAGGACACTAATCAAACACGTTGGAGCGTGGGCAGGGTTGATGATTTATGTTGACGGTTAAATAGGGTCTTCCAAGGTTGTTACCCGCCGACACCGACGAACCCTGCCGCCCAGGGGAGTAAGCATCTGCGCCGCAGTCTGCAGAACATACAATCTCGCTACGGATGCGTCCACATCTCGGCGTGGTACAAGGAGGAAGATGTAGTGCGCTGTTACGAAGCAAGTACTCCCAGCGCGTCAGAAACTTTGCACGCCGAAACGTCTGCCACATTAGCAAGGAAGGCTTCCTTCCCGCCTTCAAGGACGCGCTTTTTGCCTTGGTTACAGAGCAGAAGCTTCGAATGGTCTTTGAAGCAGCAGGGCTAGTTCCCATCAATGCGCAGGCTGTGTTGGATCGCCTTAAAGTGCGGCTGCGTGCCCCGCCAGAACCCCTCCTCCCAAGAACACCGTGGCAGTCTAAGACTCCAAGCAATACTCATGGGTGCGGACCTCAGTCAAAGCTTGTACATAGTCTCTCTACTCGTTCGCCTGTTACAGCCTTGGCTGGCTTCTCTCTGCTTATAAAGGGTGGTGAACTGATGCTGCATCAAAACGCACTCCAAGCCTCGCAGATCCACGAGATTGAAGAACAGTCAGCAGCGATACCCAAGCGAAAATTGCGTAAGCGCAAGCGGATTCGGCAGCATGAGACTACAGGTTATGGGAATGCTGTAGCGCAGGGAGCAGCTTAGGCTTCTGCAGCACCGCAGCAATCTAAAAAAGCTCGTGGTGGTGGTAACCGAGAACCAGCCCAACCAGCTCTACGGCGCTGTTGAAACTGCAGCGGGACTGAGTACAACGCACGTACGCGCAAACAGAGGTGGCAATATCTTGGATTAGATGCAAGCACGACGTAATCAGGCTCCTTGTTCGATGCGACGAAATTGAGCATGCGTCACATGAGTTGGTCGTGCCAGATGAGCCTCACTGTAACGGTACGGGACTGTGGTAGAAGCCTCTAATTTAAGGTACGCTACAGGTACACTACATTTATTACTAATTCTATGCGCCCTACTTTGCTTGTAATAAATACAAAGGATACAAAAAGAATAATTGAGCGATTGCTTGGGCGTGTTGATTCTCTATACATGAAACAAGAAAGAACTCTGCCGTGGGTACAGTTCTCGTCCCTGCCTGGGACCCATCTGATAGACACCCGTTGGTAGCGCGTCAAAGCAGTTGATCCATTCCAGTTTGCATCCAGCCGAGAAATAGCGAAAAGTATTTGCTGTTAAGAACGTGCATTGCAACGAGGGTCTTGCCGTGATCTTTATACATCTGTTGGTTGTATTCCTAGAGAAATTGGGGATCCTGGTGTCGCGGGCTGTATGTATTCGACGGCGCCTACGAGAGAGGGCTGAGCCATCACCTCGCGAGGCGTGGCGGATGGTGAGCGCGTCACAATAGAAGCATTGCCCAAGGCTGCTGAAGATGGGGCTTCATCAACGTCGAGCGCACGCACTACCTGGTCAGACCCGTCTGGTCCCATAGTAGACGGAAGTGGGCCCAGCGCTACGGAAGTAGCATTACCCAGCATGATATCGAGCAAATGCATTGAGCGGGCTGCAATCCAGGGTCGGTTAGCCAGCGTGCGATACTTCGACTTGCCGCTTGTCACGGCGTTAGGAGGCGCTGCATTGTACAAGTATGTGCTGATAGCGGCTGCTGCGTGATTTGAGTACCATGGGTCGTCGGTAAGCAGTGCGAAGCCGGGATCGTTAGGTACCAGAGTGCTCGGCCAGCATCGATTGACACTCAATCCATCGTCAGCATGAGAGGTCAATCTTGTGTGTTCCCAGTGTCTGATCTCGAAAACAGCGTTCGGCACTTCGACACCAACGCTTGTAATGTATGCTTCATGGTATCTTAGCATGGCGACCATCATAGACGGATGTCGTTACTTACTTGTTGTACCTCCTCCGACCCTTTGTGAGACTGTCGAACTTGTTGTTGTGGCTGCGCCATTTCTCATTGTCCTTTTGGCCGCGTCTGTCCACGCATCGTGGCTGGGACAGAACGCACTCCAGATCTTACCCGCTCCGCCATTGTCAGGTTGAGGTATCAAGCGGATGAATTGCCCGGCCTTCTTCCTGGGACCCTGTGAATTCTTTCCCCAGAAGTAGCGTGGCGGCCATTCATCTCGTTCGCAATCGTCGAACTCGGTCCATTCTTTTGACCATTCCCAGTGATGCTGAGCTGTCCTGGGCACGCTTGGACGACTACCCCAGAGACCCCAGTCATCTGTTGCCTTGCCGTGTTGACTAGTACTTGAAGTCGCCCAACACGTGAATCGAACCATATCAGGCGTGTTTGTATGAACGCTCATCACCGAACTATAGTGATAGCATGCTTGTGACCACTTCTCTGAGCAGGTCATTGGAGGCGTCGTCATGAACGTAGAGATGCTTGTCGTTGTGGTTGAGTCTGTCCTTGTGATGGGTCCGTTGTTGCAGGAGGTAGCTCTTTGTTGCAACCGGGCAGTAACTTCTGTGTAATGAACTTCATGGATGATCTTCATCGGGGAAAGTCGTGAATCAAAGCGACCATTGCTTGTGTCAAAACTGAGCTCAAGCAAGCTTCTCTTTGGTCTGCATGTGTTGTTGTTGGTGTCGTCATCTTTAGAACCGTCTTTGCGACAATTGCCGAGTACTTTTTGCAAAGAGTCATCGTGCTTCTTGAATGTTGCACCCATCTTGCTGACGTCGTACTTGGTCTGCGCTCGCCGAGCGGCGCCCAATTCTGCGAAGTCTCGAGGTTTGCGGACGCGTCCAGCACCTAGCAGCCCCATAATAGCCATGGCCGCGTTTTCCGGATTAGCAACTACGTCTGCGATGGTGAAAGCGGCATTCCCAATCATTCCGGCCATAGCAATCATGCGAGCGACGGTGGCTGCGCCCGCCGCAATCGCTGCGATTTCGCCAACAAAAGGAATCAAGAAAAGAAGGGCCGAGATAATCGTGATGATGAGATTCTTCTTCTCCTCTTCTCTGATCTCTCCGCCTTTCTCTTTCGCTTCCTCCATCGAGTCCACAGCTTGCGCGAAGAGAAAGACTGGCACTGAGAGGACTTGAACCACATCGCCGTTGGAGCCATCCCATATACCTGCCACGATATCGAAGAAGCGAGCGGACATGGCATTTCTGGTGGCTTCAAGATCGATGCTCTTGATGATCTCCTTAGGGTCAGGAATGCCAAAATCCTTCTTGAGAACAGGTATACCAGTGACAGTGACGTCTTTGTAGATGCACAGGCAAGCGGGTTGCCCTTGGCAACTTGAGCAGTCGTTCACCTCCTCGTGGAATTCACCGAGTTCGATCCAATCAGAGATGATGCCCGCTTCTGCTTCGAGGGCATCATAGAAGCCATCGCTATCTCTGATCGTCATCTTCATAGTCATTTTACCCTGAAAGATCAAAGGATCATCTTTCATCAAGTCCTCGCAGGGACCATTGTACTTGTCTTTCCCGCCGGATCGCTGAAAGTCACAATCAGTGTACTTTCGGATGTTGCCAAACTCCCAGTCCGCGAACTTCTTGAAAGCCGCCTCGGCACTCTTCTTGATGACTCGTTGATAAGCCTCAAAGTTCTTGTCGTAGCCATTGTCTGCGTCGTTGTATTTGGTGATAGAACCATCCAGCATCTTCTCAAGAATGCTGACAGCGAGAACGGGCTTGCAGTCGTCCGATACATCACCATCGTTCGCCAGAGCTTCAAGATCTGCGTATTCCTTGGTGAGGGGGCAGTTCTTACCACCCATTTGGTTGTCGTCGTCTTCGTCGTTGTTACCAATGCCGCTATCGCCATAGTCCTTGTCGAGGTCGACAGCCCAGTCCGACACTCCCCCGAAATTGAGTTTCGTGTATCTGTTGATTCGGTTTTGCTTGGTCTCGTCGGTCATCCATGCTACCCACTCCGTGTCTTGGTACACGAGATAGTCGGTATCGGTGTCATCGCTCCATTCCTTGACTCCAAGAAGCTCTCTGTTCCACAAAATCTCTCGAATTTCTGCAGAAGATATGTAGCCGCCCGTTCCAGTGCAAGGTCCCGGCATCGCATCTGACACAGTCCTAGTGCCTGTGTATCTGCACATCTCGCTCGTGCAACCCTCTTCGGCCATTTTGAAGCTGCGTCCATAGCTAGCTATACCAACCACAACCTTGTACGAGGGAACGCCAGCCTTTGTAATCATAGCTAGTGCAGTAGTTGTCTCGGTCATATTGATATGCGAACGTAGGCAGTCGCCTTCAGGGCAGCCAGGATTTGACCATTTGTTGCCATAGTCCCATTGTCCGTGCAGGTCGTAGGTCATGTAAATGATATAGTCAATGACACTAGACATCTCTTTGATTGGAAACGCCTTCAAATACCAATACGAGGCAGGAGCCGCGATCGAGACTGATTTGCTTCCCATACGACGTTTGACCAATTTCAGAAACTCAAGGTAGTTAGTGCCTTCGTCGGCGGCGCCGGGAACGGGCGTGATATCCTGGGCACCAGGGTACTCCCAATCGAAGTCGATACCGTCAAGGCCATGCTCGTTTACGAAAGCAACCACATTGTCTGCAAATGTAGCACGGTTCGCTTGGCTGACAGCCTGACGAAAGATGGTGTAGGTTGGTGCATCCGCAGAGAAGGCCCAACCGCCAAGTGACACTATCCTTTTGATGCCAGTCATCTTCTTCAGCTTGTCGAACTGGTCCTTTAGCGTACCGACGTCGATTTTGAAATCTCCAGCAGTAACATCTGGAAACGCAAAGTGGATATGGGTATACTTCTTGGTGTCGATATCTGTGACGTCCATATGCAAACATGGGCGATCCTGATTCCAGGCCTCGAAGTAGGCGACGTGGGCGAAGCTCGCTGGCCCTTTGGCATTGTTGGTGATATTCATCCCACAATTAGATATGCATCCGTTCATGCCCGGCTTCGATGTACCGGGTGCGCCTGTATCAGCTGGATTCTCGATGCAGAAGTCCTTGTCCATTCCACACTGGCCCCAGACGTTACAACAGACATTCAGGGGGCATGGGTTCATATCGGCAAGCTTTTTGTTGCCCCGAAGTTCTCCATTTGGCTTCTGCGGCCCACAGACGGCATTTTCGATAGGATTTGGCATTGGAGGTTCGCCATCGGAAAGGCATATCTTCTGGCCAGGCTGAAGGTTGTCGCAGCCAGCAAAGCCCCACGTGTTCTTGTTGAGATCTTCTATGCCCTTCGTGGTGAGATAATTCGCATCGGCAAGGGCCCAGCAACCGTCACCATCCTTGATGTCGTACGAAAAACACGAGCCATCAGCATTTTTCTTTGGGCGGACTACGGATGAATGTTAGTCCTCAAGTCAAAAACCATGACAGCGTTTTCACTTACAGTCAAGGAGGTCGCCAGCCGAACAGCAGACAAACTGTTTAGGTTTGAGCTTGTTGCAGAAGTCTTCTCCAGGGTTGAACCCGTAGAACTTCGTTAAGCTGATACCACATCGTTCTGCTAACGCATAGCAATCGTCACCGCTGAATACCTCTTGATAGCTACAAGTAGCCCTTCGATGCAAGTTGAGAAACGAAGTAGCATTAGAAGAATGATTCGTGGAGTTATTCGCCGTCGCATTTGAGGAGCTGTTCATACTTTTGACCAGCCAGTATTTGATGTCGAAGTCTGACCACCCAGAAGTCGTATCAGCGCCGGAGGGGCTTCTACCCTGACTCCAGCTAGAAACCACTTCCTGGGCTGCGGTGATATTGTTCTGAAGGTCTGCAACGATGCCAAAACCCAAGGAAGATGAGTGTGTTTCCTTGTAGTTTTGTACGGTGAAGCGATTGGTTTCGCCACTTCCACTGGACTGTATTGCTGAAATGAGGCGCTCAACTACGGGGCTGAAGCCCTCTCGATCGACCGCGTGACCAACAAAAGCTCCCACAGTAGCCGATCCGACCTTAGCGAACATTGTAATGTGTCTACAGTCACCGGTCTTAGTGATGTAGCTTTTCAGCGTTCGAAGGGCCGCAGCGGCATCTTCATCACTGGCCGTGCTGTCCGTTCCGGTCGGGTTCGTGTGCCATTCATGGTAGTAAATCGAAGTCTGATTAGACTTCGGACCCATGTTTGCCGGACAGCCTGGAGACTGCAACCTTTCGGACCGCTTCTTCGGTGTACCAAAGGTGAACGGCACGGGATCATAGTCGGGTGCCTGTTTTGTGTCATCCTCGGAATCCGTACAGGCACGAATGGTAATGTGCTTGTCGAGAGAGTTGACGGGGATGTCCAGCATAGTGCTGAAAAGCAGGGGCTTTTCGCATCGATTGAGTGCGACGACACCATGAAGATACGTCCACTTCAGAGCATCCAATCCAGACTTGCTACATCGAACAGGACATGGATTTATAGGACTCGCAGCGTCGCTCTCAGCGTGCGATCGAACACCAAAAATGAGTGTAAAGAAGACAATGAAGAGAGCGGATGAGTACATGGTGCAAGGACGTGCCGAAAAGAATAACCAAAATATAATGAGTGTATACGGTTGAAAAAGAAGAGACGATAGATAAGGTCCGTAATCACGAACTAGCTTTGCAGCAAAAGGAATGAATGATGGGGAGAATGAAGGAGATGACCTTCTGTGCAGACTAAAGTCTCCTCAGTGATCAATATAAGTAACCGCTCTGACAAGACCCGCATCAGGGAATTGAGCGATTATGCTCAAGATGTGCCCCTTGGGAATGCGCTTCGTGAATTCGCCACATGTATCATGCACTTCTAGCGGGAGTAATCTATTGTCAGTCAGATTTTACGAGCGCTGGAGGATTGTGGTAATATTCTTGCAGGGCCGTGCGGAGCTAGCACGGGTGAACAATGTATTGGTCTGGGTGTAGGGTAACATTGCCAAGATGTTGGCACGAGACTGTTGACTAGGATCATAATTAAAAGATGACAAGCTCGGAAATAAGAGTGAAGAGCGGAATCATTACACCTCTCCTTCTTATTTCGGACCGCCCAACGTGATTTGCAAGTAGTCCCCTCAGTTGCTTCTGACTATTTGATTATTCTTGACAAGAAACCGCAGACCTCATTCATCAACATGAAGCTTTTGTACCTCCTTGCGCTGGCCTTTGGCCCCATCTTTGTTCTTGCCGAGCTCAACGCATACGAAATACTCATGTTCTTCGACATGTATCGTGTCGATTACGAAAAGGATAACAGCAACTTCAAACTTGCTAAAGGATGCAAAGATTGCAATTTTGAGGACTTCGTTATCCATATCGACCGACTTGGGATGACTTCGAATCTCGATGGTCGTTTCGGAGACCTTATGAACCCCAGTCTTGACGACGTAGAGGGTTGGGAGCAACGAGACGATCTTGTCTACGATGCAAAAAAGCTCCTTGGTGGATTATGGCGCGACGAGGACGCGAAATCCCGCCCCGGTCATGCTATTGTAATTGAGCGGCTTGTTGACTACATGTCGAGCCTTCGCTCGAGTGGAGATTCTGAACGCCTCAGCAGGATTGTCACTGGAATGCAAGCCGCGCAACTCAGCAGACGCAGCCTGCAGGCCAAAGCCATGCTCGACTACATAAACGGCCGACTTAGCAAAGCCCGCGTGGGTTCTGCGAAAACGCAGTCCATCTCCTGGCAAGGCGGAGACTTCGATGAATTCGATGCCATAGCCACTATTGAAGGAGTACAAACCACAAAGCGAGGGGTCATGCGCACGGAGATTGTCGCCATTGCCAAGTCCATCAACAACAACGATCTCGAAAGCAGCCTCAAGAGAGATATCGGGATGGGAAGCGGCCGTAGCATCCAGAAGCGCGAATTTGGCGAAGGGCTGGCTATCATGGCGCTGCAAAGAGGCATCGATTCGTTGAGTATGCCAGCGCGCAAGAAATGCTGAAAAGGGTCGCTCCGAGGAACTTCTGAGAGTGTCTCCAACACATGCTTCACAAGCCGCGGTTGCTGCGGATTGTGCAGGGGAAGTGGGTGCCAACCATCGCATAAGCAGCCTGGCAAAAGGAATGTCGAGCCATCTAGCGAGATAGTCTGGTACCGTAATTAGATAATCGAGGAATGCGATACACACGAATGAAAGAAGTGATTCGATAACGGCTAAATCGATGTATGGCCCAAGCTGTCTAGACCTCGGGAGCTAAACGACCCGTGCTGATGTGGACCCCTGCAGCAAATCCATATGTAAGGTACCCGAACTCTACCCAGGTGTTCTCAAGATAAATTAAGCGGCTTCATATTGGGTTCATGCAGAGCCCTGTATATCTAACCACAGAAAGGCGCATCCATCTCCCGAGCCTCGGCGAGTGCGACAGTGTAAGACGAGCGTAGGATCCGTCATGTAGGGCGTAACAGACTAGTTGCTGGCAAACAAGCTGTCAGCTTACGCAATAAATATGAAGTGTCGAGGCGAGTCTCCCACGCTTGGCCTCGGAAGCGAGGTGGACGTAATCCAAGTAGAATGGACGTTGAGAAGGGCATTGATTGCACTGCTCGCCTATTAGAGTGAGTTACGGAACGCCTTACAAGATCGTAGGGTTCTTCAAAGTGTGGTTCGTGTTGGTGGCCAAAATCGAGCATTAGGCCGTCAGTCATCGTAGAGTGACTACTACACTGCGGCCTTGGCTCCCAGGATCTTGAAATCAAGGTCGCCATCGGTCTGGGCAGCAATTCCTAGAATGGTAGGCCGCAATCAACGAGGATAACCGACGCAGAACCTACGCGACTCTCCTATACCAGTTGGTTACATTCATCCTTCGATACGGACACTAGAAGATGAAGTCTCGTGCTGCTAAGGCTAGCGCTGCTAGGATGCTGGGGGCCAACACTTCCACCACTGCAAGTACCCACAAGCACATCAGGGGCAATACAGAATCTACACATAAAATACGGGGACCAGTCAAGTCCATCAACTCAGTCCTCTACTCGACCTGAGCCTTGCTTTACTCTCTATCACTAGTCAGTCATGTTTGCCTTCACGCTCGGCAGTACCGTGACCACCCTCTCTGTGCTTGGCCTTTGTACAGGAGGGCTGTCGGCGACCTCACGTATCCAATCACGCAGCGGAAAAACACCGAGCCTGGCTTTCGATCCAGCAACCACGTCCTACTGCTCTTGGTGGATCGACTACGATGGTTCCATGACCTGTCAGGAAGTCCTCGACGACAATTGGATTGAGCTAGATGCATTTCGCCGCTGGGTATGTACAGACAAAACACCACCCTCGATCTGCATGAACTGACTGCTGCTTAAGAACCCTTCTATCGGCGCTGACTGCACTGGCCTTGTGTCCGGCAATAGCTTTTGCGTCGAGGCTGTCAAGGAGCCCGCACCAACAACGACCCAGAAAACGTCCGGCACACCTAGCTCATCGAGTTCCAAAGCCAAAACGCCCACTTCCAAGCCCACGTCGTCACCTTCTCCCGTTCAATCAACCCCTACCAGCGTCGTCACTAGCAGTGCCACTCCGACTTCTAGTAACGGCGTGGCTACACCCTCGCCCATTCGCCCTGGGATGGTGAGCAACTGCAAAACCTTCCACTTCGTCGAATCGGGAGACAACTGCGGCACAATGGCTGAAAAGTATGGCATAGGCACTGCCGACGTTATTGCGTGGAACGGACTCAATAATGCATGCACCAATTTATGGCAGGACACATATGCCTGCGTGGGCATAATCGGTGGCTCACCCAGCCCTTCTCCTACAACTTCAGTTCCGTCTGGCAATGGTGTTTCGACTCCGACGCCTGTGCAGCCACGGATCGTAAAGAACTGCAACAAATTTTTCTTCGTTGAATCAGGAGATACATGCGACGTAATCAACCAGAAGACTGGCGCGCGAGTAGCCGATATCGTTGCATGGAATGGACTGAACAGCGGATGCACCAACATCTGGGGCGACACGTATGCATGCATCGGTGTCATCGGCCAGTCCCCGACCACAACTACACCATCCCCGACGCAGACGTCCAGCGGACCCACAACACCTTCACCCATTCAATCCGGGATGACTAAAGGCTGCACCTTGTGGCACTTTATTGGCGGTTCTACAACATGTCAGCAGGTCCTGAGCTACCAGAAGATCACGATGGCGCAGTTCTACAAGTGGAATCCGGCTGTCAAGGCAGACTGCAGTGGCTTGTGGAAAGATACCTATGCTTGTGTCCGCGGACCATAGTCGTGAGGGAAGTCAGCCAGATAATAAGATCTTCAGCTTCGCGAGCATAGAGACTTGATCATGTACTTCAGAAGTCTCCGATTCTCAACAGTTTCGCAGTGGTTTGCACGTTGTCTTGTTTCGTAGAACCTTCACGCAATTGCCCTCGCTCCTCCTCAGGAATGTGTTACATTGCGGATCTGCCGCGACGCTCTGTGATTTTATGCTCTCCAGCCTTGGAACGTCTTCTTTGAGGAGTCAACTTGTTCTTCTTCCATTGTCGTGCCCAGAGTCACGTAGCTTGACTGTTGGTTCGATAGTACTTGTACATCTATTTCCTCTTCTGCGCGCTTAGCCTAGCCGCAGAGTGCCTTTATGTCTACCTCGACACGCCGTCTAGTCTTGCGCTCAAACAGAGATACAGATACGTAGACTGGTTCAGCGCGGCTCTGTTTACCGGCTGCATAACTAGTCTGCTAGTCGGGACGTCGTAGAGCACCTAGCACCACTGGCTGTCAGCCGTGTGGTTGGCATCGTCGCCTTCTTCTTGTGGCAGGGGTTCTTGTGGCTGCGCAGCTTACTGCTACTGTCACTTTTTACCACCTGGAGCGCGTTCATTGCCTTCTACTGCGCACCCGTGCATGGCTTCGTGGTGAGCACGCCTCCGCCGCTCAGGCATATCTTCGCTCACAGTCCGATAGCTCCTCGCTGTACTCTACTATCTACCGCTCTGCCTCATGGCTCTTCGAGGCTATTGTCCCGTGTGCGCGGGCATCAGGTTCTTTCCTGCCGTCTGCCTTCTCGTTCCAGCCTCTATAGTCATTATTGTACCCCACGTAGTGTAGGAGGTAGTACGCAAATGCTTAGCCTTAGCGCGCAATCCTCAGGCACAGAGAGCAGTGTCTATTGAATGCAAAATAACGCATGGCTTAGAGATTGAATCGAAGCAGCGAGCTGTCGTCGTGATTTCTCGTTCATGCCAGATCCGCGAGAGAAAAGTTGTCGTCGCTCGCTGGATGACTGGTGCAAACTCATCGACGTAATCTTTGACCGCCTGCAGTGTGCTAACGCGCGCTTCCGTACCTCTGACCTCAATGGCTGCTACTATGAACGGTAGCGTGACGAATCGTAGCGGTTGCTTCGTCATATGCTTCGTAAGCTCAAGCTCCCTCATTACTTCCTTCGACCAGACATCAGCCTTGTCATATTCGCTCCCAAAGTCGTGTCTCAACCGATGGGCCACCAATAATGCAGCTAGTCGGTAAACCTTAGCTTGCGCAAGAAGATGAACGAGCTCAGTGGAGTCGAAGTCGTCAAGGATCTGACGTGCGTGCGACGGGTACCATTCATCCACGGCGGTGTGGATTTTTTCCAGCTGAGCATGGATGCGGGCTACGCAATTCACATCGGTCTCGTTTGACAGGGAATGGCTGATGAGGCAGAGATCCTGATAATGTGGCAGTAAAGGCAGGCAGAGGCCAAGCTTTCTGTCCACGCGCTCTTGTAGCTGCTGCGGAGCTCTTAGTGTTGGCGGCCGGCGATGTATCAAACATTCCATCACCTCCAGAAGTTCAAGGAAGCTTTTCCATGACTCCAGAGGCAAACTTGGTGGCGTAGAAGTTATGATTGGGTTCACTGCACTGATGCAGTAGTGGCAGATATCTGCGACGCCGTAGCCAATGCTCGAGTAGACGAACAATGTCAATGTGTTTCCGAGAGCAAGGCACAGAGTGGCGTCCTGCTCGGTCGTGACAGAGAGTGTACGCAATGTGCTCATGGCGGAGGACGCAAAAAGGGCTCCCGCATTTCTAGCGACTTCTTCGCCAGTGCCGTAATTGAGCGATTTGAGCCAGACAGCGCATGCAAGGTAAGCATGCTTGAGTATTGGCAGTGCAAAAGGTAGTAAAGCTACTAGTGTTTGTTGTTCGATGACCGCAAAACTTCGGAGCACGACTAGCGACCGAACCCTCTCAGGCTTATCCAGCAAGAATGTTAACAGCTCTTTCTCCTCTGCGCAAAGATCATAGTCGGGAACATATTGCAACTTGGTGCTCACATCATTCGACGCCGGTTCCGATCTGTTGAGTAACGTCAAGCTTCTCTGCGGAGCCTTTCGCTTACCATGATGCGGTCGACGGCCTGATGGTCGCACTGGCCGGTCAGTTGAGCAGTTCAAGCGCAACCTCTCGCATCTGACGCGATTCGCTGTAATGCAATCGCGACCACATCGCTCCTTGAGATCATAACATCGGTCGCATGCGATCCGGAGCTTCCGTGTATTTGCTGTGTCCTTCGCTATTCAAGCTCGCGTTCAACCCTATCCCAGGGCGCTAACTAGAGTTAGGGCTGACTCTAGTTATTTCGGTGCTAAGATGTACAGATTTCCCTGCGTAGGCGACATCACGTAGGCTAATTCCAGTAAATTTCGCAGGCTAGTCCAGTTAGGTTCCCGCAGGCTAATAGCTCTAAAATTTAGATATATTAATTAGAGCACCATTTGAGAAAAGTCTACTACAACACGAACACTCAACGTTGGAACAAAGAAAATCAAACCTCGAGGGTATATACTTACAACGATTTATCTTTATTTCCTGCAAGCAGAATATCCTAACTTTGGGTTGTTGTTGCGTTATGGTGCTCTAAAGGTTAAGTTGTTGCGGTTGCGAGGAGGGCGCTATGCCGTTTTTAATTTTAACGACAAAACTAAGCCTAATCTAAATTTCAACGACAAGACTAGGCCTAATTTAGATTTCAACGACAGTTATCTCTTAGCTTGTTATAGTGTGACTATAACGGTCCTGCTATTTGGCGATCCGGTGTAAGGGGCTACGCTCAGGGAGCTATCGCACAGGTATACTGGAGTTGTATTCGATAGAGAAGAGAACTACAGGTAGCTAGGGTTCTAAAGGTCGTTCAGGGGGCGGCGGCTTGGGATAACCTTCTGCTAGGCTCGCTTACGCAGAATCCGGGTGCTCAGGGGGGGCACCCGGAATCTGTGGACAGTGCGCCTCGCGCACGTGACCAAGATATCATCGAGGACTCACTAACTAGGCTCCAGCCCATTACATTACCCCCCTCCTCCCCTCCTTTTTAGGGGGTATCTCGTCGAAACCCTTCTAGTAGGCGTCCTTCTTCGTCTCGATATTCTCTCGTATATTCTTCCTATCGGTCTAGGGCTTCTGTATTCTCTAGGATTTCTACTAGTTCGAGGGTCGTCTAGTAGTATCCTTTCCACTTAACGTCGAAGTACAGTTTCTATCCACGTCTACAGCGTCGCAGTTGCTCTTCCAAGATCTCCTCCACTACCTACTCGTCCTTACCGTCAATCTGTAGCGGTAGTAGCTAGTAGTTGTCCTAAACCTAGCTAGGCAGTGGGTCGGAGTTTGCTAGGCGTAATCTGTCGACATAGAAAACAGGGTGATAGCCTCTTAGCACAGTTGCCAACAAGCAAGTCAAGCAAGTTACTGCCTTAAACTTAACTTGCTTGGTTAGAGAGTAGGCGTAACTTGACTTGCTTAGGAGCAATTTGTTGCTTGCTTAACTTGCTTAGTTTGCTTCTAAGTACTTAATTTACTTAACTGCTAAGGGACTAAACACTACTACATTACTAAGCTAACTGTCCCACTCAAGTATATTGTAATTATCTAAAAGTTCCTTGTCTGAAAGCTTAGCCTCACTATAAATAGTTAGTTTATAGCTAGCTCGCACCTAGGATCTCACTAGTTAAAGAGCTGCGAGTAGCTCACTGACTAGAGCTCGTCGCTTTAGCTTAAGTAGGTCGCTAAGCTCGCTAAAGAGGCGCTCGCAGTCGCTGCTCAATGCTAGGATAGTTATAATATCGATGGCAAACTGCGCTAAATGCGGGTATTTTAGCAGTAATTGAATCTAGTATTAGACTAGATTACCATTCGCTATATACTGCTCCTGCGTCCACTGCGGCTCCTGCATTTTCTAGCGCTCAAACTCGTCTAGCAGAGCTTCTTAGCCGACGTTTCTGCTAAGTATAGCGCTAATTGCCTCGTCTATATTGTTGCTACTCGTTACAGCCGTGTACGACTAGCGTAGGCGCTAAGGTTTGTACGCCGCCTAGAGCTGCTGAAACGCCACGTTAGCACTGCTAAGCCACCTAGCTTTGTCAGCCCAGGCCACATCGTAGTAAGTTTTATAGTACGGGTAGAGGCACACGGCGGCGTAGTAGGCGGGCGAAGCGTTAAGCTTGTTGTAGTAGTCGTTGGCCTTAGCCCATGCGGTAAGGAGGTTAACCTTAAGGTAATCCTTAGGGGCCTCTAGGTAAGCGTTAAAATCGACCTGCTTAAATAGGCGTGCCTGGTCCTTAAGCTGGCTAAGTACATACTCAAAAACTAGTATAACCTTATATATTGCCCTAAATTTGCTATCTTTGCTGCGGCCCTCGAGCTGTTTTGTAGCGTACTTAAGTGGCGTTAAGCAGTCCTAATACTCTGCAATTACTGCCTAATTAGCAGCTCGCAGGCTAGTTAATCTCATCTAGCTTAGAGCTTTAGGCCGCTTATTATTCTGCTTGTTAGCGTGCGCGTCTTTAAGGATAATCCTATTAATGTAATGCTTAGCGTACAAGTTATAAGCAGCCGAAAGCTTAGTAGCTCGCTCAAAAGCGGCATAGTAGGAGTTCTAGCGAGTAACAACAGGCTTAACAGGCTTAAGTACTTTAAGACGCTCCTTAGTAGGCAGGTTGTCGTTAGCGCGGCGCTAGAAACTGCGAAAAAGCTCGTACTACTGCGGCGTTTTAATATAGTTAATAACGTTAACTAGGACGCCTATAGGGCTATCTTTCTGCTACTCTTGCATGTACTGCTCCTCAGTACTGTACTGCTCTCGAGTGTTACCGTAGGCGTCCTTGTTGTTACTAAATATAATAGCCTAGCTAATTAGGTTAAGCGTGTAGCAACTGCAGCGGAGGCGCTAGTAAGCTAGGTCGAAGTTGTACTCGCAGGCGAGCGCGGCGATTGTAGTGTCGTTATTAGCGGCGTTATCTAGTACAA